GGCCGTTCCCAGTCAGCAGCAGGCTGGGGAGGAAGGGGCAGCCGTGTTCTCTGTACAGGCGTGCACATGTGCTGTGTATGTGTGCCGTGTAGGTGCGTATGTGCTGTGTAGGTGACGTGTGATGTGTGTATATGCTATGTATGTGTGCCGTGTAGGTGTACGTGTGCCGCGCTGTGCATGCGTGCCGTGCACGTGTGCCGTGTAGGTGTACATGTGCCATGCTGTGTGTGTGTGCTATGCACATGTGCCGTGTGGGTGCACGTGTGCCGTGCTGTGCGTGCGTGCCGTGCACGTGTGCTGTGTGTCTTCCTCGGAAAGGGGAGAGAGCGTTGCGGGGAGCACCCGCGCCAAGAACAAAGCAGCCTCAGTCCTCTTGCTTTCGTTCAACAGGAGACTTTTAATCAATGTAGAGACAAGGGGCGGGCCGGGCGGGCCGGGCGGGCCGGGGCGAGCTCGGCGTCTCCACGACGAAGAAACGGCTGCATGTCGGTGCCGAGCTCACGCCCAACCCCAGCGCTCGCCCGGTCACGACTGCTCGGAGGGAAACCGCAGCCATAAACGTAATGAAAAAGTCAACATGGCTGTGCAGGAAGGGGCACTGTTTCGAGTCCCCGGTTCTCAATCAGCAGAAACGGTCACAAGGCCAGGGACAGGGCGGTGCCCGCCTGGCCCTGCAGTAGAGAAAAAGAAACAAATGAAACGAAACAAACGAAATCCCCCAGGTCAACTTAAGACAGAAGGCAGTCCGCTGTGGGTTCTGTGGAGCTCCCTAAAACACTGTTCCACATAAATACAATAAACTCTATTATTGGTATGTCACAAGTGCTAGATAAACTTTTTCTTCTTAATAAGACAAATGTTTAAGTAGTCCATTTTATTTTTCTTACAATAAAAAGTACAATTTCTCAAGAATAAGTTCAATGAGACGCAAACTTCCCCCTCCTCTCCTTCAAGGTTTTTGTCTTACAGAAAATTTCCACCTTTTGTATCAGCAAACGTCAAGAGAGGGGGACAAAAAGGCATCTTCCTCTTCCCCAGAGCTGCCGCGTCTGCGTGCAGGCCTGCGTACAATAGAGACATGCCGTCTACAGCCATGCAACCTCCAGGGGTAGGAACCTTAAAAAAATATATTCATATATATTTATATCTATGTATTTATATATGTATCAATGCCCAGAAAACGCGCGGGCCCAAAGTCTACAAAAGAAGAATGGAATGAGCACGTGGCTGTGACCAGGAGGGAAGGAATGTTCTGATTGAAACGAAAATGGCCAATTCTGTTGCTAGTGCTGCCAAAACCAGACTCGCTTCAGCGTCAGACCATTACAAAACGGCCCTTCCTCTTGGAAACAGACTTTTAAAAGAAGTAAAGAAAACTGAAACACTTTGACAAAGTGGCCCTCTGAACTGGAGCCACGGGGCACCAGGGAGGGGCGGCCGGTCCAGCGACAGGCCTCCCGGATCGGCCGCCTGCTGGTGGGCCGAGGGCACGACGGGGCGCAGCTGGGAGCTGCGAGGGCAGGGCAGGCACCACGCATCCCCGGGGCATCGTCGGGGTCCCCACAGAGGGATATAAAGTGCTCACTTGCAGACTCCCCGGCTGGTGCCCCCAAGGCCTTTGCAAAGGAAGAAAAGGCTACAGGTCCGGGGACCAAAGAGGAAAAGCGTGTGAGGGAACCCTCCCTGTTGTGGCCCTGCCCACAGCTGAGGCAGACCCTTGTCTGCCCTGGACACTGGCCATGGAGAAGGGCCAAGTGTGTCTTCAAAGAAAAGAAAAGGCTACACGGTAATGCTTTCAGCACGCGTGTGATGCTGGAGCGAGTGGACCGACGAGACCTGCTGCCTGCTAGGCTCCTGGGGAGAGGAGGTCTCCATGTGAATGAGATGGACGTGAACCCCTCCCCGGGTAACCTGGCACTACCCAGTCCCTGTTATCACATCACCTGAAAAAGAAGTGAGATGATGTGTCCCTTCCCAGGAACCATGCTGGCAAACGCGGGACAGGCAGCAGGGCCTCCCAGGGCCACGTGGACAATGGGGCCGAGGAGGACGAAAGAGCCGACAAGCTGAGCCTTGCCACTGCTCCGTGCTACAAGTGGGGAAGGGGCTGAGTAGGCTCCTCAGGCCAGCTCCACCCGCTCACTAGGGCCGGCAGGGAGGGAACAGTCAAATAAGTCCACAGCCTTCCTGTCCCGCTCTCCAGCCACTGCCTTGGGGCTGGCCACCAGCCGCCAAATGACCAAGGGATACCAGGCATTGGAACTCACTTGGCCGAAGTCTGGCCGAGTTAGTGTTGCTCTCAGAAGCTACCCTGCTAAACTCGGCCTAACTCGGAAACCTGGCTTGGGGCCCCTCCCCCAAGTTTGAGCTCAATACACTTTGGAATGAAATCGGTGGCTTCAAGTGCTGGGGGAAGAAGTTACCAGGAAAAAGTGACTGTGAGTAACTGCCCAAGAGAAAAAGCAAAGGCTGGCTGCCCTGGGCAGGGCTCTGGGCCGTCCTGGGCTCACCAGGCAGCAGCGACCCTCGGTTCCTACAGCCACAGGCTCCCAAATCCAGGGCCTGCTAGAGCCCTAGCTCTGTGGCTGCAGCGGAAAAAGCCGGAGGAGGAGGGCCACTCCCCGGCCCCACGCATTGCTGACATGCGTAAAAGGTCTTTGGGAACTGAAGTTAGAACTCTGTCCTGACAGTGGTCAGAGAAGTTTAAAGAAGTTCCATTAATGCTGATGGCCCACGGCGTTGGGCCAGCCTCCCAGAGAGGGGATCGATGTCCTATGTGTGCCTCCTGCTCACACTGCAGGAGGAAAACACGACCCTCGAAATACTACTAGTGTTAACGGTAAGAGAGCCTGCGGGCGTCTCTCTACAGATCCCAGCACAGACTCAGCAAAGACACGTGTGTTGGTGTCACTCTGAAAAGAACTCGGGTCCCCCTCCTCACCCGATGCTCCCTCTGAAAAGAAACCCCACGGGCAACAGTTCCATATGCTGCAGAAAACTGCTCCCTGTACAAAAATAAACAAAACAATAATTAAAAAAAAACTTCTGAAAGTTAAAAAAAAAAAATGTACAAGCAAGAATTTAAAAAACAAGAAGGTTTTGACATTACGTCCATTCAGAAAACTGCTAAGTGGTGAGGAAAAATGTAAAATTCACATAACAATGCTTTTTCAGGATCTTTTTGTGAAAAATTCATACAAAAATCAACAGCAAATTTATAATCTTTGCTATAAAAACTCATTAGGTACATATGTGCATGAAGGCTTGGAGCAGGAAGAGATTCTGTTAGAAAATAATTGAAACTAAAGTACGACTGGCAGGGCAGTGCCCAGTGGCGACTGGCGAATGTGCGGGCGACCTGGAAGCGAGCCGACCTGGAGCTCAGAACAGAGCTCATCGAGACCCTCTGCAGAAGCACCTTGAGAGCGGATTCACAGCCCTCCATTCGCCAGGGACCTTCGCAATCTGCATTTATTATATATATATAGAGATATATATATACTTTTTCTATAAATGCATTATAAATATTTTATCAAGATTTCATAAGAATTGAGTTTCTTAGCTTGGAATACATTGGAATATATATTATACATATATATATTTATTTATACCTAAAATTTAAGCAAAACTTCATGCTACTTGCTTTTAATAAAAAGCATTCCGATCGTAACACTGCGAGTGTGCCTAGGACATGCTTGACAACCAGGTGGATGCTCGACTGTTACACACATGTGACAAAAGAACACTTTGGATTCATTTAAAATGTGTTGGACTTCAAAACTCCCAACAGTCTCTGCCACGTTTTTGGAACCACCTCCATCTTCCTTAAACTGCAGTAAAGCAAGGGGAGGCCCGCCAGTGGCAGACCCTGGAAGTGGAGCCCGTGCCCGCTGGTGAGCCGGGGCCCG